TCATTCATACTTGTATTAAAATTGTTCGTGCCATTTGGCTCTTTTGATGGCGAGATATTTTGGTTGCCGTCATTGAAAGTGACTGTAGCGGCTTTAGTAGTGCAATGAAAGTGAGTTGCAGCAGTTGTTACTCGTCCACTAGTAGTACAGTTTAGTTCATCGACATTTTCTTTTTTTTCTTGTCTGTGTCTTCGACTATAGTTATTCTCTTCTTTCACTATAGGTGATGGCGAGAGAGAAAAAGAACGATGAATTGTATTTGTGGACAATGGAGCAGTAGTGTTGATTGTCCTTCTCGTTGTTTCAATTTTTTCTTTTTCTTCTATTTTCTCACCATAATTTTTCTTCGTTTGTATGTCATTATCAATATTACTATTCCCTGTAGACAAAGATGAAGACATAACTGTGACCGATGGTAGATAATTACAATGTGTTGATGGTGATGTTGATTGAATCTGTTTAGGTAAATTCCAACCGAAATGAACAGATTTTTTTGTTTGATTATTATTATTGGTATTACTATCTTTTTTTTGTGATTTTAAACAACTATTACCAACAGTTTTCCTATAAAAAATAATGCACATGATTAAAAAAAATTCTTATATATGAACTAAAAAACTATTTTTCATGTATATTTTGTTTCATTAGTATTCCATAAGAGAAAAAGTAAATATAGACAGATTGATGTGAAATTCACTTACGAATTTATTTGTTCTCGTTGTTGCTTTAATCCATCATTATTATTTGTCATTGTAGTAGAATTTGATTTGATGATAGAATTTGACGAATATGTTTGATTATGATAACGATTAGGCGACATTGACATATTCATTATACCATGTGTTGCTGTTGAATGACCATTGTCGTCTCGAGATGAATCAGTAGTTGGTGTTTGCAAAGTAAACTTTGTATATTGATCTAAAGATGACCCTATGGGAGACGATGATGGCGACGACTCTTCATGACCTTTTGGACAAGTGAAATAAGTGGATGATGATGATGATGATGATGATGATGGTAAAGAGGAAACTGGAGACGATAAAGGAGTGATGTTTGTATTTAATACTGGTGATAAAATTTTGTAATCGATAGGATTTAAGTCTTTTTGTTGATATTCACTTATCAATGGACGTGTTTTTGATGAATATATACGATCACAAATAGGACTTTTTCGTCGTGAAGATATATTTGAACTTAAAGATGTTACTGTTGTCATTGATGATGCAGTAGATGTATCACTTATAAAATCACTATTATCAAATGAAGGTGAAGCACGTGTTTTCATTTGTAATACGGAATCAATTGATGATGATGATGATGGAGTTGGTGATGGTTCACGTTGTTCATTTGACAAATTTTCATTACGATTCTATAAATAAATAAAATATAAATTTAATAAATCATCTGGTTTTATTGTATGTTTCTATTGAGAAAAGAAAAGACATATTTCTTATGTAATAGTACTTTCATTAACACAATGTAGATACTGTCATTGTTTATGTTAACATGAAAAAAGTTAGATTTATATATATATATCGAGATTAAAAGAAAAAGGTCTTATTGAAATTTCTTACCCATGTTTGATTTGAAAGATAATCATATTTTTCATTAAATGAATAAGGTCTTTCAAAATTTATTTGATTTGGTTGTTGTAATTGATAATGTCTTATTGGTTTTGGTCTCATACGTATACGATTAAAATTTTTATTTAATGTTGAATGTTCACCAAGTGTTCTTTTACCTGTTGGTGGTAAACCATATGTTTGTTGTTCAGTTGGACCCCAACTAGCACGTTTAAGTAAACGTTTTTCTTCAATAAATTCATTATTTCCAATAGCTTTAACAAATTCTGTATAAATATATTCAGAAGATGGTAATGATTTATTATCTATTGAACATGATAGATGTTTGTCTTGTGAACTATGACATTCAATAGACGAATGATGATTATTAGGTAAACATGATGCTGGTTTACATTCATCAATGAATAAACTTGTATCATCGTTAATATATTCAGAAAGTTTCATTTTTTTTTTTGTTCTTTTTTTTTCAATTAATATTTAAAATGAAATGATAGAAAACCTGAAAGGTAAATAAATAAATAAATAAAAGTAATACCTATGTATAATGTACTATAATATCATAAATACAAATGTACAATAAAAAGAAAAAAAGACTGATATGACTGTGTTTGGAGTAGCAAGGAATATATGATAAGATATTAAGATCAATTTACAATACGAAATAAGAATGAACATAGTTTATGACAAGAATTTAACTTTTATTAAGTATTATGTTTTTTTTTTTTGGTATTCATTCTTTTTCGATGACAATAAGAATAGTAATGATACTGAAATATGAAACCAGAAGCGGACAATATTATCTCTAATTAATCTTTTATCATTGTTCAAGCTTAGACAAGTAAAGCATTAGCGGTATTTGTCGTGATGTTTAATCTTATCGTTTACAAAGAGAATTTTATTATGTTAAGTATTTAAAATGACACGTAACTGTCTGCAACTGCTTATGCATTTTGTATGATTGAAGTGTCTACTTTAGCTTAAAATTACTTTTCTTATTTCTTCTAAATATTGACGAAGGATATAAAAACAGATATCTTATACTTTAAATTTATATATATATATATAAATAGGAATGAGTGAGATTGATTATAAAGGAAAAATGATGATAAAGTACATACTTATAATTGTAGAGTAACTGGATCATTTCTTAATTATATTTTCAACAGTTGAACATTGCAGTGAGAAAAAAATCTTACACATATACATAGATGACATAATGTTCAACAAAGAGTGAAAGCAAAAACGAAAGAAAGAAGAAGAAGAAGAAGAAGAAGAAAAAAAAAGAGCCACTTTACGTATTTGTTCAATAACATAAACGACAAGCGATTGTCGTTGTTAGTGTCCTACCATGATGATCAAGCGAGTGAGAGCTTAAACAGGGCAATAACAGCGACAAAAAAAAGGAAGCATTCATTACATAAGTATATTCTTGTTGGCCTGCCTTTTTTCTACTCGAACGACTCACATAGAATAAATACATCGAGGTCAATACTACTGACAAACGGGTCGCTCAGTTTCATTTATATACATGTACATTCATAACTCAAAAAAAAACCAGTAAGTCATTCAAAAATAAAATAGAATGACGAAGGTTTAAAACTATATTCAAACAGAGATGATGGTAATGAGAGACAGAAGTTCTATTTTGTTCCCACCTATTATATTATATAATATGTTTGTATGTACGTGACAATTGACACCTTTATATATAGACTATATGTTACCGATGGTGTTCATCATCTTTGTTTCATTGTCTTCATGTATGTTATTTTAAAATGGTAATAGGAGACAAAGATGTGTACATCATCAAGTTAATTCAATACCTGAGACATATCCAACGATGTTTATTCTTTTGTCAAAAGGTGATCAGTTCAGTATAGTTTTTCTTTTTACTGCTTGGCTTGTTCTTTCCAATATGAAATAGATATATGGTTTGAAAAGAAAGTTGAAGGTAAATACTAGTATATATGCATATCATCAAAGATGATATGAATCAATTTAGAATACATTGGGTATATAGAAAGAGTTATATCTGATTGATTAATATAACTTGATTTGTTCAATGAAAGATCGGTGCTTACTGCTATTGATGTTCGTCATAGAAGCATAGATGCGTATACAAGGCAATGATGAAGGCTGAAGAAGACAGAAAATGTAGCAGAGAGTGCAGGGAGGGGAAGAAAGTATAGTTTGAAAAGAGAAATGAATAATTTTCAGTGTTATCAATAGACGATATCTCCTTGAGCTGCCAAAACATTTTAAAATCCATTACTAATTGAAAATATTTAAACATGATTATCATTTCGAAATTTCTTTTTTTCTTTTCGAGCAATAGACACATCAATTTTTTGATTTATTTTCCAAGGTTCAGACCGTAATAATTGAAGAAAAGAAAATGTAAAAAACAGAACAGTCATTACGAAATGATACTGTTGATTGTCATTGAGAATTGTTAATGTAGTCTATAATGAAAATGTAAATGCAACATATAATTAACTATGGCTGTTTTCGGCGAGAAAATTGAAAATATTGATCAATAAAATGCACAAAAGAAAAATTATGTCTTGAACAAAATAAATATCAATCATACTTAGATGTTAAAGATGTATGAGTATGTATTTGCCATCTGTTCAATGTGTGAAATTTACAAGTATAAAAATATGTGTTGAAGTTCTCAGGTAAAGTTTCATATTCATAAACATTTAATGTCACATTGTTAATGATAAAATGTAATACAAACAGCATTCAAAAAAAAAAAAGAACAAAGAAAAAATTCTGAATACCAAAACAGAAAAAAAACAATCTTCTATATAGTTTGATCGAATCCAGATGGAATAATGCTATTACATAATACATTTTATTTCATTTTTAACTGTTTCTTATCAATTGGAATATTATCTATAATTTGATGAATTCAGTGTATTTGAAAAATGATAAATTGAAGAGAAAATCTTTTCATTTGATAAAATCTTTGTTGAATGATAAAAGAATTGAAAATCGAACATATAAATACGAAAGAATAACCCTTATAACATAGTATAATTGCTTATATGATATGAAATCTAAAAGTATGAAAGATTCATTTTTTTGATAATGTCATAATAATATGTGACTATGTTGAAAACCTTCAGTTTTTTCTTTTTAATACATTTTCAATAAAATTTATTTCATCATCTAATTGAAGAAATGAGATCCAAATTGTCAAATATAAAAATCATTTTTGACATTCGATAAATTTAAAGTAAATTCTTGTTCAACAATATAGATCTTAAGTATTTATTAATCTTGATTAAAATATATGTTAGAGAATATTTAACTAATTACCATTATTATTATTATTATTTTAGTTAGTTCAAAATAGATTATCTTTTGTAAAAAAAAAAAAAAAAGAAATATTTAAAATTAATTGTCTAGAATTTAATATCGTGTATTGACAATTGTAATTCGAGAATAATTTGAACCATTTGGTGTACGGTATTCTTTTAATTCCCATCCATTTGGCCAATGAAATGGTTCAATATATGAAGCAATATTTTCTAGAGCTACATTTGATTTTCGTTTAAATTGAGTCAATGCAGGTAAATATTCTGTAATTAATTTAAACCAAGATGATGTATATTTTAATGGTTCAATAATTGAATATGTAATAATATTTAATTTTTGTAATTTTGAAAATTTTTCTAAGAAATTTGTAAGTTCATCATATAACGGCATACATAACTCTAATTTAATTGAAGTAAGTACAGGAGGTATTGATATTTGTTGTTTTTTGACTTCACTAATTATTGCAATAGTTGCAGTTAAATGACGAAGATAAGGAGTAAATTCAAATAGAGTATATAAACTTTGAAAACTACAATAATCAATTTTAAGATATTCTACAAAAGATGATGATTGTAATTGTGAAAATTCAAGACATTGTGGTGTACGAATAACACAATGTCGAAGTGATGGATGAATAAGAATTTTTGAAATTAAACTTTCTAATCGATGAGAATAATCATTTTGTTCGATTACCAATGAGAAAATAATGCAAAGATGAGTGAGATTATTGAATTTCGATAAACATTCGTCAGTGAAAATTGATTCAGCCTAACGATATATGAAATGAAATAAAAATAAATATAATATATTCTTAATAAATAATTTATATTATGAAAAAAGCAATGATTATATTACAACAAATTATCAAGAAGAACATGTATTTAAGCAATTGGTATGACTTTACATAGAATTTGCTGTTTAACTTAAACTTATCTAAAAGGCATATCATAGTATATTTCAAATTTTAACGAGATGATTATTTTATGCTAATTTAGGTGATATTGATGCTGATTATTCTATTATGAGAAAATTTCGACACATTTTGTATCGATTCAGATATTAGGATCCTGAAAATCTTTACTCTATTTTTATAAAATTCAGCTCTTCTCTTGAAATTTCCCTTCCAACTGAGATAATCAAAACTAATCCAAGACCATCATAGCTTTATCATGTATTTATCTATCGTCAATACGTATTTGTTTAGATCGGGACATCATTTCTAGTATTGATTTTATCGGAAAATTTGTTTCTGTAAATCAACAATACATATAAAATATTTTTCATGGCTTCCTAAAACATATAAAGGAATAGAATGTAGTTTGTGAGTATCAAAAGAAAAAAGAATTACATGAATATAAAAAAAAACTTTTAATTGTGAAAAGATAATCGACTATCAAATCATTTCTATTTGGACACAGTGTCATGTCTCTAGCATTAATAAAACGCAAAAGCTCATGAACAAATATTTTTGAATAATAAATTGATCATTTGTGTATAAACATTGCTAGATTACATATTTAAATAGACATTTACAATTAGTAGGTGTGACTATATGGACTAAGAAAAATGATTGTCTATCAATTTATAAGTTATTATGAGTGTGGTCCTCTTTAAAAACACACATTTTTTTCAAATTTTAACTTGAAACTTTATACATAGATATTTCCTAAACAAGAATAGTTTATTGAGAAATTTTCAGATCTTTTGATTTTGTACTATCCTGAAATAAAAACATCGAATTTGCCGTTGTTTTTAAGTGATGTGAAAGACGTGCTTTTATGATAGCTTTATCTTAAGTGCGAAACAATAAAAATATCTCAAACTTTGGCAATAAACTATTTTTATTAGAATCTGTCTTTATGAAAAATTTCAAGATTGAAATTCGAAAATTAGTTTTTCTTGCAGTCATTCAGTGCACGACGATATTAATTTAAAAAAAGCACCGCAAAAATGAGATATCACCCGAGTAAATAAGTTAAGAGGTGAACTTTTTTTTCATGATATTCATAGCTCATCAGGGTTTATATGATGCATATAATCCTAAATCAAAAGTGATTAATTTACGATGAAATTTTCGTCATTAGATGTAATGCTGTTAATAGAGATAATGTGACCCTATAAACTACAACACAGTATAAAACATTTAACGAATCATCGATGCATACATGCATCGATGACCACGAAGAGATAAAAAAAAACGGAAGAAGAAAAGTAATATGTGAAATTATTGTGACTCATATGACGTGCTTTGATATAATCTTAAGAAATTTTAAGAAATCGAAGGAAATCTTAGCTATTGTAACACGTTCTGAAATTCATAATTTCACTATTTTATTCTTATGTCTAATTGATATATATCTTGCAAAATGATTCAAGTAGTAAAAATATGATGTTAATATTTCAGTCTAATGCATTTGTCATAGTTTCATTATTTGTGATTACAATAAACGACAAATAATTCCTTAAGTCATCATTTTGTAACATATTCTCCTTCAAATTTCTTAAAATCTCATATTAAAGTAGAAGTTTTAAGCACAAAACTACAAGATCAACTTCTTTTATTTATTCTATAGATGCTTGAAAGAAATAGATCCTTATTAATTAAAGTGTGCAACACAAATTTATATTATTGAGGTATATTTGTTTAGAAATTAAAAAAAAGACAAAATAAAAAATAACCTACTTCGCTAAGTGTAATATTGTTCAAAGATAAAGCGTGTAAATTGACAAAGTTAGATAATGGTTTATATTTATTGAATGTATCAATACTACGATAAATACTAAATGGACAAATTTTAATTGATGAAATTCTTGTTATTAATTTTATATTGTCAATAAAATCAAGTTTTTTCTTAAGAGTATTATCATCGATTGTTTGTAGACAAAGTCGATGTTGAGTCCATGGATGATCAAAAATAAGATATGCTAATCGAGTATTTAATTTTCCAAATATTGAAATAAAATCTTCTAATGATAAATATTCAATTATAGATATAATAATTTCATCCGAAAGATCTTCAAATTTAGCCATGGATTTTGATTCGCACATCATTCTCTAATGTTTAGTTATTTTTTTTTCTTCTTCTCTTTCTAAGTTACTATACTTTAATTTGTTTTGTTTTTTTTCTTTCTGATTACTTGTTATGAGATACCTGTCGTTTAAGTAGTATGATGAAGGACAAGAATAAAAACACAGTTTTTTGTCAATGTTATATGACGACGATTTTCATCATCGAATCAAGCAAACAGGACGAATAAATAAATATTGCGAACATTAATAATGAGTCATTTCTTTTTTGACTAGGTAAATACAGAATATTTCTTGAGTTATCCTTCTGATGATGTAAAATGTATGGGCAATGCACTAGCACTACATGACCCAACAATTACTTCTCCTAAAAATACTTTAGAGAAGAAATAAAAGTTTATTAGTTCCCAGAATATCTCATACCTCCTACTTATAATAGATCACGACTACTTAAATCAACATATTTATATGTATTAAGTATGAGTTTGTAGTTTATGTATGAGGAGTATTGATCCGTGGTGGTATGTTTTTACATATTGATATCCTGATGAACACAAATTTCCATGTATCCGACATAGAATTATTTAAGTAATACATAATCGATATTTTGAACTGTACTCCTGCCACAATAAGCGATCTTCACAATGTACCGCTGTATTAAGGTTAAGAGTATAATCATAAATCAACTTCCATCTGTTCTAACACTTACTATATGATATTTAATGATTTTGATCAAAAGAACTGAAGTCCGATTAATCAATAGTTCATAGATGAAACGAAATGATCTATGGTCTTTGCTGTTTATTGTCAATAAAAATGAGTTTTCTATTGATAGTTTGGTTTTGTTGTATTAAAATCAAAATATTTGAAAAGAAAAATAAACTTATTTACTATTGCGAAATCAGAGAGTGTATCAATGTATTTTGCTATAGGTTAAGAGTGTATGTAGACAAGACCTTGATTTACGTATGTGAGTCAATTACAACTTGATGGTAACATTATATTCTCATGTGTAGAACCTTAATATCTTGAGTTGTTTTCAATCAAGCATGATGATTTTTTCAAATTAGGTTTCTCTAATAAATCATCAATTATATACAAAATATCACTGATTTATCTCAGATAAGTTCTAACGCTCTGAGCAATCTCAAAGGTAATTTTTTAGTGCTACCCATGGTTATAAGATGTTGTATAGCTGATGTGTTTTCTTCTCGTTCATAGATCGAAAATTGAAGAAATTAAAAAACAAACAATCTGTAAGTTTCGAATGTAAGATTGATTGAAATTTTTATCACAATTTTCCTTATATATTTTTCTAAAGATCAATACAATCATTACTCAATTATCTGTCGAACGAAATAAAAAACGATCTGGATAGCAATTGATGAGAAAATTACGTTATCTCTTGATCTTAAAAGCTACAAGAAAAAAACTTGAAAATTTGAAAGTCGTACAAGAGTTTTCATTTTGTTTCACATGTAGTTTCCTTATTATATAATAGTTTGAGATGGAAATCAGATGATTTTATTCATTGATTGTGCTTAACTGGTATTGAAAATATCAGCGTCAGAAAATTCATGATCCATAAGAAAAAGAAAAAGATAGTCCTTGTGTGTCACGCGAATTTTTCTATAACAATAATGACACACAGGTATATAACGTGCATCCTACTTCGCAACTAAGGTCAAAACACATATATTCTGTATAATTTCAGTTGTTTTTTAGATACCATCAAACTTACTGTACATAGATGCTAAGGTGCACCGTATGTAAGTCATTTGATACCAATGACGTCATATTATGAATGTATAGCATAAAAAAACCTATTAGATTGATATATGTGAGTTTTATCAAGTTTTGAATCTCAGTCGTATTTCGTGCCACAAAAATAAAATTCTCTCTGTGTATAATCTAAAGTGTTTTTAACATACGAATTTTGTAACACGCTCGTATTTCGACTGGTTTTCAACATATATATTAAAAAGTAGTATGCAAATATTTTTCATAGATTTTCAACAATTTCTGTATATTTCAGCTACAGTAATAGTGGTAGTCGGGAAATTTTATTCTTTTTTTTCTCTTCTCATATTGTACAACAGAATATATTATTTTTTTCGTTCGTTTGATGACTAAAAATAGCACAATGATACTGCAATTCGCTCATATCTATGTTAGAGTTCAATCTTGGCTTTATCTAAACCATTCTCGAAGTAGCCTAGGTCAACTTCAGATGTATTCAATAAAGTAATAAGCAAGTATTCCCTAAATTTCAACTGATGAAGATTTTTTAAGCCGAAAAATAGATTTCAGTACGATGTTGAAAATCTCAAAAGATCCAATTCTGCGGAAATTTATTTCCGTAAGTTATGATTGTTCGTGGAATTTTAAACGTTTCCAAAAACCTTAAGAAAGAAAACCAATTTAATTATATACTGTAGATCTGAAAATATTTTATAGATATGAATCTCAAAATCATCAAAGTGCGTGAGACTATAAATTTTCAGGAACATTTATTTCTTCTCTAAATTTTTAATATAGAGCAAGCTTTTTCCAATTTAATTATTTGAAGAAGAAAGTATTTAATTGTACTGGAAAACAGAGAGATTATCTTGACTTATATTTTTTAGATTCATTGAATTTGTACAAATTAATAGAACTTATCTTTTGATAGTCCATTGTGCATGGCATTTTGACCTCACGAATATATGAATTTCAAACAATAAACTTATGATTTTATAAAGAAAAAAAAAAACGAAGCTCAGTAGTTGAATAATCAATGATTGTAGATGAGCTTGCAATTTTAGTCATCCAATCGATTACCTACCTGATATACACTTCAATACGTATAGATCTTTTATGAATATGATGAATCCTCACGTAGTAAAAGAAGAACATTTCTATATCATTCTTCTCATAGATGAATGACTGATCGGTGCGTGGACCGTTGTCACTGTCATTCATGCAGCAAAATTCTTATTTTCGTTTTCTTATAACAAAATTATCTTGTTTCTATCATTTCTTTCAATACTTGCTTGCCAGAAACCTCATGTTTCATGTTATTGAAAAGATTCAATGTCATGTTCATTGTGGGATAGTATTTCTGTCAGCACACAAAATGATCGACGAATGAGCATCTCGTTTATATTTATTTCTTGTCTTCTTACTGTAGTAGTATTTTTATTGATGATTGAAATTAGATATTGAGTCGATATGCAGTAATCGGTTTTCTAGAGTCGCTAGTTGTTACGACAAACTGGAGGAGTAGCTTATGATAAAAGAAGAAGTAAGAATGAACACAGAAGATAGAAAAAACGGAGCCAGTTGCAATGAGCAGATCAGTATGGCTAGATGTTGATGCATTATAAAGAGAAGAAAGTTATATCCAATTAGAAGAGAACAATTTGATTGTCGACACAAATGCTGTTTCGTGTTCCACTGAACTTTGTCATTTTTCTAGTTATCAACTGAAAAAAATCATTATTTATTCACTGATGATTCTTAGCATATCATGAGACTGATATCTATGATCAGCTTCTACTCTGTTTGTATCCAAGCAGTCTTACTAAATGAACTTATCACATTATCAAGATTGTTCCAGTTAAATAATTTATTAGAATAAGTATAAATACTCGAATCTAGGAAATAAATTACAAAAAAGAAATTATATTGCAGAACCCTGAAATAAAATATCGCTATGTTTGCCATAGATCGAAGACGAGTTGCTAGTAGGAATAGGTTAGTGTCTTTTTTTCTACCCATCCACATCTTTACCAAAAATTCATCTTAGAGTATTACAGGAAGTTTAATATTGTATGAAATTTTTGGTTAATTGAATCTCTGAGTACTCGAATATATCTTGAAGTATCTCTTGAATCGAATTCGTTAGTCATTGTTTGAAAAAAATCTTCTCCATAGTAGATATATTGAGAATAATTATACAGAGTTGTCATCAATATTGGAAATAATTGAATACTAAAAGCAAGGATAATTTGCATTATGCCAGTACTACGATTGTTTTTCGAAATGAAACGTGGTACATAAATGCATCGCCGAAATATTGGAAAGTTTACAAAAAATATCGTGAACATAAGTAAAACCATCCAAATAATCATATGGATTATAATTAGAAATGTATAAGTAAAAAACATTGGTATAACATTTGTGAATAAATACGGAATAAGTAAACAGCCAACGAAGAGAAGTGTAAGTATTGAAGAATAAAGAGCTAGGCCTTGTATAAAGCGCGAACAAATATTGTCCTCTTTTTCTTTTTCTTTCCGTTTTTTGGATAATCGAGATGCTAACTTCACAGAAAAACTAAGAGCAAAATTTGTATATGAGACCAATATGTAATTGTATAACCTATAACCAAATACATTATAACAATTCCAAACAGTGGCATCTTTAGCAGACATGCACGATGATTGAATATAACAATACCATATGCTATGTACAAGTAATGGTATAGCGCTGACAATAATATCAAACGAATCAAACTTCAATTTTCTTTGCAGCTTGTTGTATGCTTTTTCCGATTTACGAATATTATCGTCATTATTGATATTCAATTCAGCCAATAATAATTGAGCTCGAGTTTGTAATTTTGTTGATAAATTGTTAAGAAAATCATCAAAAAATTGTTGGTTGTCTTTAGAAACAATTATTTCAAGCAATAGTAGATTGTGAATGAATCCTATTTCCAATGTTGATAAAAAGGCACCATATTTTATTCGGTTCCAAATACGCTGAAGTAGTTGAAATGTCAAAATTTGTAAGATCATTATCCAATATGGTTGTATAGTCATATGATCGTCCTGAAGTGTGTATAGTAATGGGTTAGCGTGTTGAAACATCTTTGGCACGGGATCACTTGCATTGTTGCCATTCATTTCTATTTTTGATCACTCTCAAAGTATTTGTATGCAAGAATAGACTCTGATCATATTCCGTGTGTGAATCGAAATGGGTTCGTATAAAGTAATTTACGATTGACACGAATAACATCGTTATATATTATTAGAAAG